CTAGCAAGCAGTAGATATATGCCAAAACTTTTTGAAACGGGTTTAGACTTACCTGTGTCTCCGTCGCGCGCTCATGTCTGAACATCTGAAGAGTCTCGGGTGGGCGCATGAGCACTTCAGGTGTTTGGCCGGAAGACAAGGAGAGACGCAAGGTAAGTCTATGGAGCAACGTGCACCCGCACAGACTCCGTGGGACATCAGAGAAGAGCAATCAGCGTTGGATCGGAGACCCGCACCAGCGCTGGAGGGACAGTTGAAAACGACAGTAAGGAAGATGATCGGATTAAGTGGCATCATTTAAGGTAAGTCCTTACACTAACATTGGGTGTGGGGAAAAACAAAATAGCCTTTTAATGTCACTTTAACTGAACAAGTTGAAGAAAGAAGCTGATTGGTTACTGTGTACAGCTGCTCCAGATTCTCTCTGCTCCAGTTTTAGTAAATTCTCCCCAATGTCTCTACAACGAGGGTGGGCACTCCAGCTATTGTGGAACTACTAGTCCCATACGGCATGTTGGGAACAGCCAGAGGGCCGGATTTGCCCACCCTTGCTCTAAAATCTTCGCTTGGCATTCCGAGCATCTTGGCTAAAACTTTATGTCCCCGTTAAGGTCCACCATGCGAAAATGAAGGAGCTGGATGACCTGAGAAGAACTTTTACAGAAGGAATGGATGAACTGCGCACCTTGAGAACGAAGGTAGGTCTCTCCAGTATACCGGTCACCGTGTTTATATTTTCAGTCATTTGATTTATCATTTGTTCAATCCATAAATGACAAGGAAAACCTAGAAATATCTACAATATGATCTGCATTAACTGAAGGAAATGTCACCCGTCACGGGTCACCTGTTACCCGTCACGGGTCACCTGTTACCCGTCACGGGTCACCTGTTAACCGTCACGGGTCACCTGTTACCCGTCACGGGTCACCTGTTACCCGTCACGGGTCACCTGTTACCCGTCACGGGTCACCTGTTACCCGTCACGGGTCACCTGTTACCCGTCACGGGTCACCTGTTACCCGTCACGGGTCACCTGTTACCCGTCACGGGTCACCTGTTAACCGTCACTTGTCACCTGTTAACCGTCACGTGTCATCTGTCTCTCAGGTGAAGTGTCTAGAAGCCGAGCGGCTCCGGACGGAGGAAGAACTATCCAAGTACAGAGAACTTATTAACAGGCAGAAAGCGGAGATCCAGAACCTACAGGACAGAGTGAAGGTCGTGGATCAGCAAGAAGAGCGGCACAAAAGGTACGCGACTCTCATGCTGACACGCAGAGCCCGATACGCAGTAATGCTGATCACACAAGGGCATCTGTGGGGAAAACTAAACTTAAATCTGGATTTCTATATTAAATTTCAATAAGTTCTATTCCACTCCTAATAATCGGATCCAACTAGAAGTTTGTTGACTTGCTGAACATTCCCAGAGGACGGAGTTCCTCGATGTACTGACACCATTTCACTCAGCCCTGTGAATATGCACTTCTGTGTGTCACCACTGTCGCAGAGCCGGCCTACCAAACTACAACTCAACATCTGATCAAGGTAACAATAAAATGATAATGTTACATTGTTCAGACGTTGAGTTGTAGTTCAGGCGGCACAAGGAAGTGCATATTGAAATGGTGTCCGTGCATTGAGGAAGTACAACCTATGGGCATCTTCTAGCCCAGGGCTCTAAATTTCCACTCTCCCCCTTGCAATTGACAAGTGAAAATTGTGTGGGGGCAAGTGGAAATTCATCAGGGTAGCACCACTGGCAGGACCAGGGGGGTGAAACTACGTCCGCTTATGCAGTGACCATCGCTCGCTTCAGTTCTCTCTTCTCTGGCCGTAGTGAAAGGAAGGCAGCAGAGCTGATTGGTCTCCTCCTTGGACGCTCTGTAGCTGCAGCAGCCAAGGAGAAGAATCAGTTCGACTGTCTTCCCTTCACTCCTGCCACCTGCAGCTTCCTCTGCCCACCTCAGCTGCCATAGGCTGGGAGGAAGACTGCAGCTGCTATTGGCCGGCTGGAAGTTTTTGCAGCGCAGGACCTGAAAGGAGGCTTCAGCTCGGTACATGGAGGATACATATCTGTACCCCCCTCCAGCACCAGCAGAGAAAAAGGACACCTAAATCAGATCAACTATGTGCACTATAAGTCCCTGTTCTTTCTGCCTTACACCGCTGACTTCTGTACTGTGTGTTACGTTACTGACCTTTATACTGCTGACCTCTGCACTGTGCGTCACACCACTGACCTCTGCACTGTGCGTCACACCACTGACATCTGCACTCTGTACTTTGCATCACACCGCTGACTTCTGTACCGTGTGTTGCATTACTGACCTCTGTACTGCTGACCTCTGCACTGTGCGTCACACCACTGACATATGTACTTTGCATCACACCGCTGACTTCTGTACTGTGTGTCGCACTGCTGACTTCTGTACTGTGTGTCGCACTGCTGACTTCTGTACTGTGCGTCACACTGCTGACCTCTGTACTGTGCGTCACACTGCTGACTTCTGTACTGTGTGTTGCATTACTGACCTCTGTACTGTGCGTCACACCGCTGACTTCTGTACTGTGCGTTACATTACTGACCTCTGTTCTGCTGACTTCTGTACTATGCATTACATTACTGACTTCTTTACTGTGCGTTGCATTACCAACCTATGTACTCTGCATCACACCGCTGACATCTGCACTCTGTGTGTTACTGATCTCTGTACTCTGCGTCACACTGCTGACCAGACGGAGTTAAGGCCGGGGCAGGGTAGGGGCTAGCTGGTGGAACTGGTGGCGAGTAACTCTTAAGGCTAGTAGCTCAGGACTTGAAGTTTTGCGCCCTGTTCTAGATGGATGTGGTTATCAGGAGCGGGATAGAGGTTATGAAATTCAATATAGCAATACAGATTTATTTGTCCTTTTTGCCCATAGACACCCTGTATAGGAGTTGTATTATGAGTTCCGCTCTATGGCGGTCCCCATACTATGGATGATGTGAGAGACGATTGTGCCGAAATATTTATTTATGTGTGCGCCGGGTAATTGCCGCTTTCATTTCCTGTTTGGTCGTCTTTCAGGGCTGTAATTACGCAGTAGATGATGATGATGATGTTTGGGATTAGTGACGGCGGTTGACATCGGGGAATTTTCATGGACTGTTTTATGGTTTCTGTGCGTGTCACAAAACAATTCATGAAGTTACAATGTAATCATTCCCATTGATGGAGCCGGTTGTGTAATTAGCATGACACGGTAAATACACAAAGGTCTCGTCCGCTCTCTGATCTCTCTGTGGAGCGTTCGTGGCAATTAGCCGTGTCATGAGGGTAATGGACGTCTCTAATCGCCGCGCCGTGCGGTTAGTTACGGTTTTAGTCCTTTCATCTGCGGGCGATCTTCTTAAAGTGCGTCTAATCGGCGGGAATAATGAAGAGTAATTGGATTTCCTGCGGATAGATCAGGCACAAGCTTGTTTTATGTCTGCAGCCTCCTCGTCGCTCCGTCTTCACTAACTATCTTTCGTTATTAGGACTCTTTTGGGGGCCTTTTCATTTAAAGGCTGTAATCACATTTTTGCCTCTCTCGATTCTGGCAGCGTGACCTGGTTTTTATAAAACTTAAAATTAGAATTCAACACAGTCATTAAAATCTGCCACATTAAAGGAGAGCTATGGGGTTAAGGCTTTTCCCCCATAGTTCTCCTTAGGGTAACGGGAGGACACAAACTAGCGTCCTCCCGTCACCCTAGGCTCAGTATATAGGGAGCTACAGCTCCCTATATGCTGAGACGCCGCAGCTGAAGCGGATCCCGACAGTTGTGTCTGGATCCGCCCAGCTGCGTGAGTGACAGCTGGCTCTGCCTATCTAGAGGCAGAGCCAGCTGTACCCTCCCCCGTCCGTTCCGCCTGTCAGCGCTGGAGGATCGGAGCAGGGGGATTCCAGTCCTTCCCCTGTCACGGCTCTCTGCAGTTCCAGGATTGAGAAGTGAGCGAGCGCCGGTATGTGTTCTCTCACTTCCCGATCTTATCATCCGGGGTGATCCTGCTTTTCCCAGGGAAAGGGGGAGGGGGGTTCCCTTCATTTCCTGTCCCATAACAGGAAGTGAGGGGAAATCCCTATGACACAACAAGAGCTCCCATTAGAAGATTTCTCTCTCCTCTCGCCTCCTGTTCTGGGGACAACTGGTAACCTTTTGGATTTCCCATCACCTTCTGTCCAGGAAGGGGTCCCCAGGGGGACACAGCAATAAAATCAGGACAGGGGATCTGACACTCGCACACTATATTCAATCAGTTGCGGCCAGGGCAATCCCCGCTCCATAGCTACATGTCCCAAAGGAGCAGGGAATGCCCATGCTGATACATGTATGTCTCCCCACCCTACTCCAATTCTCCACTTGCATGGTTAATCCCCCATTGGGATGAAACGCGTCGGAGGAGAAGGATCAGGGTTTGTTGGAGAGCTTTGGCTTTGCTTTGTGACTGTTTCCAAGCTGCAATAAAGCTTTTTATGATACAAAGTAACAAAAGATGACAAGCGGATGTTCTGCTTCTTTGTTATGAATCCGAGATAACAAGTATACAATAAAACTATTACGTAGTAAAGTGTCCTCGGCATGAAATGGGAAGTCTTCAGTATATTGCGCAGCTTTGGCCCCACGAGAAGATTTGGGAACGTTTTGGGAATGTCGAGTTCCCGGTCTTCCTGTCTGTCCCTTCCCTTACCCCTCATCTCACCCTCCGCAGGGACAGACAAGAGATCGACAGTTTACAGGAGGAACTCAACAGTCTGAACTCGCTCATCTCCGACCTTCAACGGGATATAGAGGGCAGTAGGACGCGGGAGTCCGAGCTACTGGGGTTCACAGAGAAGCTGACCAGCAAGAACGCCCAGATCCAGTCCGAGAACAACTCCCTACAGGCCCAGCTGGACAAGCTGACGTATAGCGAGCGCGAGCTCCGCCGCCAACTGGAACAACTCAAACTCACCAGCACCGAACTGGTAAGAAGTGTTATGTGAAGTGCCAATTCTGACCTCCGTCCTCCCCTTCAGCCTTCTATCTGACCTCCGTCCTTCCCTTCACTCTTCTATCTGACCTCCGTCCTCCCCTTCAGCCTTCTATCTGACCTCCGTCCTCCCCTTCAGTCTTCTATCTGACCTCCGTCCTTCCCTTCAGTCTTCTATCTGACCTCCGTCCTCCCCTTCAGTCTTCTATCTGACCTCCGTCCTCCCCTTCAGTCTTCTATCTGACCTCCGTCCTCCCCTTCAGTCTTGTATCTGACCTCCGTCCTCCCCTTCAGTCTTGTATCTGACCTCCGTCCTTCCCTTCAGTCTTGTATCTGACCTCCGTCCTCCCCTTCAGTCTTCTATCTGACCTCCGTCCTCCCCTTCAGTCTTGTATCTGACCTCCGTCCTCCCCTTCAGTCTTGTATCTGACCTCCGTCCTCCCCTTCAGTCTTGTATCTGACCTCCGTCCTCCCCTTCAGTCTTGTATCTGACCTCCGTCCTCCCCTTCAGTCTTGTATCTGACCTCCGTCCTCCCCTTCAGTCTTCTATCTGACCTCCGGCCTCCTCTTCAGTCTTCTATCTGACCTCCGGCCTTGCTTTCTGTCTTGCACAGTGGTACCGGCTCCTCCCCTCTTCCTCTGATATCACTGCACACTGGGAGCTTCCCACAATGTACATTAGAAGCTGCAGCACGTTGGATAGAGCCCCGCCTCATTTCCTGGCTGGAGGACGTCCAGCATCATCTAGCCTTTTCCTCCCCAGCCTGACTGTCCCTGGCCCCACCCCTTTAATTTTTTGGATTTCAGTTCTGTCAATCATGGAGGCTCAGCATCACATGCGGGTGTTGCCTAGGGCGGTCTGCGTGCAAACAACGCCTGTCTAGGATCGTCCAGACTGACACCCGCCCATCAGGGCATTCTGATATTTGCATAACTCCTCCCAAGAGCCAGCCCACAGCTTGCATCAGGGCTGAGTGCTCTTGAGAGGAGTACTGAGGCCGGGTGCTGAGATGTTTTCAGGAAGCTATGTACAGCACCCTGCTGGCCCCTCCCACCAGCCTCGATCT